ACTAGATAGTTTTTAGTTATAACAATTTTATTTTACAATATTTACAAAGATTTTCTAACTTATTCTTAAATTAAAGCTTTTGCATACACTTTTTTGTAAAACATTTCTTGAAATTATTGACCTAAAAAGTTACTTTATTTTATTATTTTTTTAATGGTATTTAGTTATTTTGAGATTCTAAATATTTCAAAATTGTTCTACAAACCATAATTAACATTATGTAAGCATTAATTCTCATCTACATGTTTTGATATTAAATATTTTTTTAGGATCAGAGATAGAGTCTACACTGACATCTTAATTTGTACCCAGCTATTAGGATTGGACTTCCCAAAGTGTGGATTGTGTCAGTAACTAATCCCAAAACTCTATTCTACAAGTTTCCAGTAGAATTATTGTCAAAAGAGTTTTATTTGTGATATTAAATTACATGTGAAGTCAAATTTTACATGTTGATGCTCAAAATTTGTAAGTATTATTAGTTCATATTCATTTATAATTTATTGTACACTGTTAGAAACCTATTATGCTTTCATAGCTTGAAATTAAATCAACATTGTTACATTATTTATTTATTTTTCTATAAATAATTTAACAGAAACCTTAATAAGTAATTTTAATTTGTTATTATTTTAACTTATGTACATTTCACAATTCTAAAATATTTTTGACCAAGGTATTTTCCGTTACAATATCTACCCATAAATCTTTCTAGCGTTTTCAGCATGAGACCATCGACTAATTGGGCAATATAACTTTGATGTCCTATCATTAACCCTTCCTATTTTATATAGGCATAAGACTTTTACCTTTTGCCACGCCTCTGGTGTATGAAGCCAGGCCATACATGCTTTTAATATGCGACACTTATAGGAAATTAAAGTTTCCTGTCCCTTTTGTAGTAGAATGGAATATATTTATTCTATTCTTGGGGATTTGTATGACTGAAATTTGTAGCCACTCTAATTTTATTAGGTCTCGATATTTCGGCAGTTAGCCTCCATTCCAAAGTAATTGACCTACTAGACCATGTTTGGGGTAGATGCTATTATCGGTTAAAAAAAAATGCGGCCTTAAAGTGTGCTGTGAGCATTGTTAACGTTTCCTTAAAGGGGTTTCTATAGGTTTCATTATCTTTCTTGAGAAATCCTACTTGGTTTACAGTAACCGCTTTAGCTAGGATTTTAATATTCTAGAGCTTGTGGGTGTTTCAGATAACTCCCCACATAACTTTCTCCATGATTGTCTTTTAGCCCTTCTAATCTCCTTGTTGTACTGCGTGCTAACGTTAGAGCATTAAAAAGTTTTTAAATAAGAAATTCATGTCATATCATGTTGTGCTTTAAATGACTTGTAAAATTATCATTCAAAATAAATAACTTATCTTTATCTTTAAAATAAATAACTGTTTTTATCTATCTAGAAGACGCTTAAATCAAAAGTTATGCAATAAACACTTAAATTACTAGATTTACCATAAACATATCTCATCCGTGTTGTATTTTGTTTGCTATTTTTTTTATTTAGTGAAATATCGGTAACTAGATCCCAAACTAATCACGCTGCTATAACTTTGCTGCGTTTGAATATCCATATCGGATGCATCTGAGATGTTGTAAATCTTTGATCACGTAATTTAATATACGTAATTGTAGTAGAACAGATGTGTCCAATGTGGATCAACAAACGCTCGAGATGTAAAACATGCATCGGATGTGGATATTCAAACGTAACAATTGAATTAGGGACGCAGTTATCTGAAAATATCAATTCACCAATCGGTATATTTTTATGGTTACCATTAAGTCGAATATCACAAAAGTGACGCAACTCTTGGTCGTGGTCCAAATGTGACCAACAAATGTTTTTTATGAACCGTTGTCAAAAATTGTGATTAGTTACGGTTAGTAGATGGTTAATATCGGACGATACCCTTATTTGGTATTCATTAGAGTGACTGAGGAGAGGAAAATGGCCTATGAAAGTTAAGGAAATTATAGAACGATATCCCTCTCAATGAAAATTGACGTGTGAATTTTTTAGACACTTCTATATTCTGGGTGGATCCTTATTAAGAAATCACCCTTTATATTGTCAAATATTTTTATGAATCCATATAATCCAACACGAATATGTTTTTACTTTTAACTATATTTAATAAAATATGGAAAAGCAATATTGAGTTTGATTCAAAGATAAGATTAAATTCAAAATATACTACAATGCTGTTTGTATACCAAAATAATTAAATATTTTTTCTAAACGAAATGTCTGTGGCAATAACTCTATGATTTAATTATTGAACTTTCCATACAATAATAATTATTCTTGCATCATAGTGCTCTTCTAAAATATACTGGAATATACATGCTTTTAATAAACAAACAGTAAATTTTGCTAATATTGCATGTCAAAAACTGTACTGAACTTCTGGTGCCCTCATCTGACTACCCTAATATTGAGAATTCTAACGGCTGAAATAGTCTTTCTTGGAAATTTCAATGTCTAGTCTAAGTGGATAATTACTAATCCCAAGGGACTTGTACCGAGACATTTGCAATTAGCTCAGGATTAACTCGGCTTATGTACAAACCTATTCCACTTTCAGCTTGTTTCTACAAATTTCCCCTATTCTTTGAAAATAATAACAATTAATTCTGAATCCTGTATGATTAATGTTTATCGTTTGTTGATATTAAAAATAAAATATTTAGAATCTATATACATATATTTTTTTAATTTAGAACAATTTCATTACTTTAAAATAAAAATATACAGAATGTAATAAAAAGGTGGGCCATCAGTTATACTAGATATTCTAGAGTCACAAATAGGTTAGGTAGAGCCACGAACACCCAGAAGATCGATACATTTGAACAATAATTTACCTTATTTTTTATTTCTGTCGTGTAAAAAAATTATTTCTTTGCAGGCGCAGCTCTGTATTTGTAAGGTAGGGGGGGTGGGTTGCTCCACAGCACTTAGGCCTCACAAGGCCCATTATGCATCCCCCAGAAGCATTTAGAACCTGACTTTCAACTTGTCAAAACTTGTCGCTGGTGAGCCAGACACTCAGGTCAAAGTCCTGCAGGTTAATAACGTCGAGTACGTATCAAGCTAGCAGAGCACCATTAGATTTTTTACATTCCGAGCTATGGAATTAAGTAGGTTACCTGTATTGACACCTAAGCAAAATGAAGTAATTTGTTTAATTGGATGGTTTTTTAACATAGACTGCAAGGTTCAAGGACGTAATGATAGCAGTAATGCAATGTAATACAAACTTTGGATTAAAATAAAGACAAATTATTGATTTGATTCGACTTTGGTTTCATTACAATATGTAAGATAAGGAGGTCCCTTGTCATAACATTACAGCGGACCTCCCTAATACGCTCGAGTCCACGAAGCTTTGCGACCCGCCGCAGTGCGTCGCGGAAATCTACCTGGACAAAAATCCTTAGTCCTAAACCACCAACAGTTTTGGAAAAAAATTGGGATATATTTATATGACAGACTATTATTAATGTACAAATGAAAAAATATGGTACCAGACATACAAGGTGTCCCAAATAAATATTTTTTTACAAAATTAAATACCTATAACTTGGTAATTGTACATACATATATTTTTAAAGATTAGATATCTATAACTTGAAAAATATCTACTTTTTATTTATATTTAATAATAATACATAACAAATTATAAAAAAATAGAACTAGGAAACATTGATAAATTAAGAGAAACTATATACAAGTTTATTCACTATCGCTATCTGAAGCTTAATTTTCGTCACCGCTAATGTCTATTAGGATCATACGTAAATCTAAGTTGTTATCATCTATTACAGGCGAATCGGTTATGTATTCGTTGATACCACTGAGATTTTCGTTGTGTCTGGAACTATTTTTTCTTAAAGATGATACAAATGGGTCAAAACTTATTAGTTATGAGGTCATTATATCTGTGTTTGTGTTAACTCTTGAAGATTTTCTTGAATGAAACAGTCGAAATTTTCGTATTTCTTTGTGTTTAGCCTCTAAGGCGTCTTCAGCTAACTGGCCAATCGGAAGGTCAAAATGCTGAATTATATATTTTCCGTAAACCAATAGCTTATGCACACTACTAGGCATATAGTACCAATCCAAGAGTTGTAAGTAGAGTACTCTAGTCTCAAGAAGTAAGCGGTCAAATTGGATTAAATTAATTTTCTTACCGCTAGCAATTGTTCGTAAAATAAGGGAAAATTTTAGTATTAGCTCTTTGTCGATACCTATTATTGCAGAACTAAGATCAGCGTTATTAAAAAACCTTCTTGCTGTATTACCGTCATTCGTGGATCCGTAACCCAATTTTGGTTTATCGACTACCAACCCCATCTTGGTTTTGAACTCAGCCTGAATATATTTTTTACGATCTTCGTAGATTTTTTTGTTTTCAGATCCTCTAACCTGCCAAATTTTTAATGGTAGTCGATACGATATGTGTAACAAACACTCAAGGCAACGAATCCACGAATGCAGTAAGGACAATCTAAAATTGAAGTTCTCAACTTTAACAGTTTTTTTAGTGACTGACCCTAAATTAATCTCCTTTGGGGAAGCTCCGCAGATAAAACATTTTTGTGTCGCAATGGTACTTGACAAAGTATTAATGGTACTAACATTTAACATTGTCATTAATAAAGTGTAATTAACACGAAGCCGTTTTTCCTTTCCTATTTCAAAATCTGATAAATTTTTTGTTAATTTTAATTTTAGCTTCATCTAAAATTCATTTTGATGTTTCTTAGGCGAATATAAATTTAATTGGCATACAAAAAAAGGTTGATTAAGTTCTGGGATTAGCCCAAATAACTTGGCCAGTTATTTTATTAATTAGTTGAATGGGTGATAAAGCTATTAGAAATAAATATTCACCGGTCATTTCAGGGTGTTAAACGTTTGTTTTTAAGTGCTATGCCCAGAACTTCCATCAAACCCGTATTTACAAAACAATTCTAGTGATTCACCGTCAGATAAACAGTTTTTAGTATACTTTCTACTGTGATATTTAGTAATTCTTGTAGATTTACTTCTGCACCGCCCTCAGTAACATCGATATTTCTTGGTATTAGCTGATTTATATGCTTTCTAATGATAGCTATTCGAAGAAAACAGTTTGGGTGTAAGTTATTTACAGCAGAACGAAAAAGGTTGTATTTTTGTTCTGTTAAATTTAAATCTAAATACAGCGCGAGTGCCTGTTCTGATGATAAAATCTTAGATTTACCTTCTGATCCCGAAGAACGCAAACGTGATGATTGTTGAGTAGCAAAAAATAGCTCCTCCATAGTGTAATTCTTGACTAACTTTTCAACTCGCTTTTTTTTAGTTTTAATACTGCTTTCTTGAAAAGGTAATTGAGGTCGTCCACGGTTTGCTTTAGGAATGTGAGAGTTTTGGGCTCTATTGCTCTCCGTATATGACACAAAGGTGTCCGTCGTGTATATTTCTTGTTTAAGCCATTTTCTTTGGTCTTTTAAAAAACGATCCCGAATCGTGCATATTTCTGCCATTTCTTGTCTATAGCTAGACAAAAAACGTGTGAAACTTAATTACATTCTTTTTCGATACCGTCAGAATTGTCGGATAAATTTAAAGAACTTAGAATTTTCTTCGAAACTTCTGCCTTCCTTTTAAGTTTTTCTGTTGAAATCCATATTTCAAAAAGATCACTGTTTTTTAATTCCATATCAGCAACTAAAAATAAAAAATTAAATTTCTTGTGCAAATGTGAGCAATTTCAGTGATATATCAACTTATTTGCAAAGATATAAACTACTTCAAAACAATATATTTCAAGGGACCAAACTAATCCTTTTTTTCTAAAGTTACCCTAAACTTTAAAAATAATTATTTTTAAATATTTTTGAGCTATAACTTACAACTATAATTTTGCTTTAAAAAGTACTTACCTTATAACATTTAGCACTTTTAAAACAAGTTTAAAATAAGCAAACTAAAATTTTAATTAAATTATTTTTTTTAGAAAACGACAAGACAGAGCTTGCTCTGACAACACTATTTTAAAAGTTGATGAATGTTTTAGCGATTACCATAGCCACCTCTGTGACTTTGTGCGTATTGTAAATGGTGGTTTTAAATTAATTAGTTATTACTCTTTAAGCCTAGATGTATATATATTATATGATTTTTACCCGATGTCGAAATCTGATTTTTGTCCATAGGGCGACGCACTGTAGCGCCGTCCTGTATAGTAATCCTTTTTTTAATTTATTTTATTTAACCGAAAAATTAAATTAACGCGACCTAGCGTTGTAAAACCTTCCCCGAGCCGAGTTATCTGCGGACATCCCTGATAAGCTCTGTTCCAGGAGGCCTTACAACGTATTGTCCTGTTAACATTCTTAACTATCGCGTGAGAAATATCATTTTAGGCGAGACGCGGAAGAGAGCGGATTTTCGAGTCGACTGAAACAGCCACCGTTCGATCGAATGTCGTCGCGTGGTAAATAATTTATTAATCGTGCATTTTGATTTATTAGTCGAAAAGGTTATTTTTTTACACATAGAAGGCTCCGAAAATTCCGTTTTGACCATTTTCCGTGTCATAATCATTCAACCGTTTTATTTCATTAATTTAAATTATTGGGAAATATATTTTCCGTATACAGAGGACGCTGTAGTTTTCCGCATTAGTTTTAGTTCTTTATAATTCACCTGCTACATTTAATTAAATTTATTTGTTGAGAAATTTATTTTCTATTTACCGAGAGCGTTGTAAATTTCCGTATCAATGTTTTTTTTTTACTTTGTAGTTTCTTTATAAATCACCTGTTTAACTAATTTTATTTAGCGAAAAATAATTTTCTGTATACGGGGTGGAGCATAATTGCCTCATGTATAATATTGAACCGTTATTTATTTCAACTTATTTGTTTTTGAAAATTAATTGTACTTTTTAGTAAATTTATTTTCTGTATACACAGTGGAACATAATCGCCTCCTGAACTTTAAACCATTTATTTATTTCAACTTATTTCTTTTTGAAAATTAATTTTACTTTTAGTAAATTTATTTTGTGTATACAGGGTGGAGCATAATTGTCTCCTGAAGTTTGAACCGTTAATTATTTCAATCCATTTTTTTTGGAATTAATTATACTGTTGGTAAACAATTTTAATTTATGTAAACATTTATTTTCCTTTTACAGGGAGAATCATAAATTCCCGTTTAATTATTTGATTTCTTTGTATAACTCAACCGATCTTTGTGACCGGTATTCTTGTACTACGAATTTGTTTTCTGTATACCGGGGAAGCCAATACCGCGGGTCGAGGTGTTATTTTTTGGAAATATATATTTTCATATTTATCCCTGCGTTCTTTTTATTACCGGCACTTGACCGTTTTTTTTTCAGGGTTCCGTAGGGAGCAAGGTATAAGGAAGATAAGTGATTTATTCCTAATTTAGTGGCTACCTTTAGCAGTGACCGCCTGGAAGTTTTTTTTACAATACTGAGTTTATTCTTTGGTGTGCTACAGGGTCGCAGAGCAAACTGTGTTACCAAAACTGGCTCCCGAGCAACCCCTATTCTGAACTCACCATCATAGCGTCATACAGACTTCCTGATTCATTGTAAGTGGAATAGAAAGCATGTTACAATGACGAAATTTGAGTTTGAGTCTGAGTGCAATACGATGCGGATAATCCACTCAAGTTACGTTTCATTATATAAACTGCTTGTAACTTTTTTCACAATTTTTAAATTATATTTTCAGCCCTCTAACAGCCTTCAAAATAACTAAAAATAAAATTAAAAATAAATGTAAAATTTTTATTAGATATACTCATTTAAAGCTATGTTTAAGCATATACACTAGTTATTTTTTTCGAAATTTTACAAATACGTGTTAAGCCCTCTATCGCCCCCTTAGAAAATTTATATAGATAAAGAAATTTAATAACGTCATAAAAAAATTGAAATCCCGATTTTTAGTAGAATTGTAACCCAACTATTTTCCACTATAAAAGTGCCATTTAATTAACACTATTTTTAACATCCTACTCCCACCCTTACATAAAAATAGTATCTACTTTTTAAACATTAGCTTTGTTCGCACAACGATCAGAAAAATAAGCAACTGCAAGACTCATGTGCAGTTCGTAAAAAGTGTTCGCACAACCAAATTTTATCTCCATTTAAAAATTGGGCGTTCGCGGAACGAAATTTGCCGTGGCAAGTCGATTTCCAACGATCCAAATAATCCCCTGATTTTAAAGAAATGTTTAGTTGGAGACATGCGCATTTGTTTATTCCTTATGTCGCATGTCAATTTAAAAGTTAGGTTATATGTTTGTTGTTTTTGGATTATTTTTGTGTTAATTTTATATTTTAAATTATTGTCGGATCATTTTAATAAGTAAAAATAAAGTAAGTGACATTTTTAAGTACTAAATGTAATTAGGTAGGTAATCATATTTAATTTTTTTAGAAGTAGTTTTAAAGATGTTGTTCGAGGAAAATTGGGAAAGTTATTCGAGTGACGAGGAACTATTAGTTGATTATTTTAGACAAAGCAAAAAAATGAAAATTATTTGGAAGAGATAGTCCCTAATTATACAAACACAGAATTTATAGAACATTTTAGATTAAGCAGACAAGTTGTTCAAAATTTATCTGAACAATTTGCACAAACGCAATACTTCCATCACCAAAGCGGGGAATTTGGAAAATTGAATGCCGATGACTTCGTTATTATATTTTTATGGTATGCTGGCTATGAGGCAGCCTCATATAGAGATGTTGCCGATAGATTCTGCATATCATTAAGTACTCTCCGAAAAGTTATCGAAAGAATGACGCACTTCCTGAGCAATCTTTCTCCACAAATTATTACTTGGTCAAATTACTTAGAACAACACATAAAACAGCAGTTTTCCACCAATGGATTTGAAAACGTGATAGGAGCAATCGATGGGAGTGATGTGAGGATTGACAAACCTTCTGAAGATCCTGATTCCTACCTTAATAGAAAAGGATTCTATTCAATGCAAGTAAGTACCTACCTAATTCTATTTCTTTCTAAATTTTATCATTTTTGGTCATTGCATATTTAAATATATATTATTAAAACTTTATTTTCTGTAGTTATTTTAGTTTCAGGTAGTTGCTGATCATCGAAGAAAAATTAGAGACGTGGTAATAGGATTTCCTGGCTCCGTACACGACAGCAGGGTATTTCGGGCATCTCCTTTATCCACCAACATAGAAGAGATGTGTGATGAAAATTATCTTCTGGGAGACAGTGGATATCCGTGTCAAAAAAATTTATTAACGCTATTTAAGGAAATTGGACATTTAACAAGGAGGCAAATAAATTACAACATAAAATTAGCAAAAAACGAGATATGTAGTGGAACATTGTTTCGGCATTTTGAAACAGAAATTTCGTTAATTGTACCACTTAAAATTAAGAAGCGATGATATGATTGCAAATTTTATTAGAGATTGTTGTGTTCTTCATAAATTTTGGTTGAATCATAATCGCAATTATGACGATATAGAGGCAGAAGTTGAAATGGAAGACAATGAAGACGTGCAAATAGAAAATAATGACAGAGTAGAGGTTAATAATAGAGACAATATAAACGGTATAGAATTTAGAAATCGTGTTATGAATATCTTGCCAATGTAGAAACGTTGATTTTATTTGATAGGAATAACTTAATAAATAACTTTTTAACAGAAATTTTTTTATTACAAACTTTACAAAACTTCAAAAACGACAATAACAAATAGAACTAAACAAACAATGTAAATGCAAAACGACAATAACAAACAAATAGAACTAAACAAATAATATTTATAAATGCAATGAACTAAATAAATAACTAAAATCCTGAAGGAATATCTGTTTAAATAAGAATGTTTTTTTCAGTCAATTTTAGTAACAGTTTGTTTCAATATGTAAATTATTTTTATCTTTTAATAAATTATTCTTTCGTTCTTTTAATTGCACCTTTTGTACTTCCAATTGATAAAGTTTTTCAAATTTTTCTTTCTCAAAAGCTAATTTTTCCTTGTGTCGATCTAATTTGTTAAGACGTATTTTTTCTAAAACATTATTTTTTACAGATGTGGCTGCTTTTGATTTCATCCCATGAGGCGTTTCTGTTGTAATGTTTTCTTTATTTATTATTGAAAAAGAATCAGATGAAAATTCGGGTGAAAATTCCTTTTTAACTAATTCAGCTTGTGTCGGTCAAAGGTGTTTGTAATTTTGTTGCTGTTGATGTAGATAATAAATTTGTCAGATTGATATTTTTCTTTTTACCGAGAATATCATCCATTTCATCGGCAAATTCAAAAAATCTTCGACCTGCTCCCGTTTGCTTCTTATTATCTACATATTTTTTATAATTTCGTTCTAGAATTCGCCCTCTGTTTTCACAGTTTAAGGGCATCACATCAATGTTATAACCTTCCACATTTTCTTAAAATTTCTAATTTTTAATGTTCCCACCAGTTTCCTTGTTGTTTTAAAATAATTTA